CTTTTTTTTTTTTTTTTTAAGTATGGGTCACATTTTCCTTTTTCTTATTATGCTTAGTGATTTGTTATTGGGTACTGGATATTCTAATACATTGTAGAGACTCTGGATTCTGTTACATTCTCCTGAAATGTGATACGTGTTCCAGTAGACGGCTTGGTTCACTCAACTGTACTCCAGACTCTTGTCTCCCTAGTGTTGGACAGCAGCTGAAATCTCTGCTCATTCTTTTCAGCTTCCAGCTGCTGCTTCATGGCTGGGCCCCTGGGGTCTCCCCATGTATAGGTAGTTTACTGGAAGCAAAAACTTTGGGTGGATTTTATAGGCATGTTTTGGGCTTTATTCCTTCTGCCTTTCCCTCTTAGGTCTCTCCCTTAATATATGACTTTTCTGCCAGCTCTGAACTCTGTCCTCTGATACTTCAAACCAGTAAGGTGAGGCTGTCCAAGTTGTTCGTGGATTGAGGAGCGCTTCAGGCAAAAGGCCACAAATTCCCAAATCTCACAAGTTGCAGGTTCCGCCTGATTTTCTTCAGCCTCTAATGCCTTCAAGTGATGAATGTTTAATATTTATAATTCTGTTTGCAATAGGGTTAGTCTAACCAAACTACTCTGCCCTTCCTGAAGTTGGAAGTCCACTGAATTTATTTTAGTGTATTAGTTGGCTTTTGGACCAACCATAGGTTACATGAGTTTTATAGAAGTGTAGTAAAAAGCTAGCTGTAGTGACAGCTTTATCAGCTGTAACCAGCTGATACTGTTCTGTTCTCTCAAATCACAGGTCGACATTCCCCTATGGTCTTTGACCTCTTCTTTTCCAAGTTATAAGGACTCAGATTTAAAGTAACTGAAATTAAACAAAAATGAAAACTAAGAACAGTCTAATTTGAAAAGAAGATATACTGCTAAAAATCGCACAATGCAGTCCAAATGAAAATAAAAGTTTAAATTACCTTTGTTCTAATAATACAAATAAATGTGATTTACTGTTTGCTGGTTACCCTTTTTTTTAGCAGTTGCAATAAAAAAACACAATCATTTTTAGTGTCGCCTTTGATCCATAGTCAGATCCACTCTGAAACAGTCAAAGCCACTTTGGCTTTTGTCACTGTTTTGTCAGAGGTTTTGTTGGTGTCATAGAGCAGTTGCTATTAGCCACCAGCAGAGGGAGACCATATCATGTTCTATAGACTCCCAGACTGAATGAAAATGTTAAATTCTAATTTATGTGGATCTATTGCATTCTACTCTCTACATTAAATTATTTCTGTGCTGTTTATGTGTAGAGGGACTACTTATTATGGAGACTGAATGTCAAGTGTCATAATTATCTTAGTGATAACTGAAAGAACAATGACTTTAAGAAAAATCTTGATCCGTGCATTATATTACTGTCTCTGGTGTAGGGGACAGAATCCCATTGTGTTCACTGAGCCCTCTTTCGGATCTAGCCTTCTATCATAGTGTAGTAGTAATCAGGATGGCTGAATTTCATAAGTTCTTGGCAGACAGTTACTGAAGTCTCATATTCTTAGCATCCATCATAGTGTGGAACATTATTGTTTGATTGAAGTAACATTTTGAGAATTTTAATATGTAAAGGCAGGCTAAGAAACTGGAATTTGTCCAAGGTACCATAATTATTGGTAATATCAAGGTCTTATGACCATGTGGTGGTAGTTGGGTTGGTCTAACCTGATTTCAGATACACAGAGAAATACTGAGTAAGGAATGTGAGTTCTTTGATTATTTTATAATTATCTCAAAATGCTTGTAGAAATAACTGTAAACCCTGCAGATTAAGTGGTGGGAACTGTTGATTTGGGACCACTCTGGATGCTCTTAGCTGTGATTTCAGGGTGCTATGTAGGAAGTGGGTGGCATAGCTCATGGGAGGTTGTCTTGCTTGACCTCAGACCCAAGTAGAAGTCTTACCTAACCCATCTATGGTCCAGAAGGAAAGCGAGTTTACCCTTTAGGCTTGTACTAAGGTATGCTACCTCTGAATTAAGACTGTGTCCCAGTGACGCATAATGTGGACATTTCTGGAACTTTTTAGCTTAGCTACAGTTCCCTGTATCTACCCCTTCCTCCTATACCTAACCCAAAAAGTACACAGCTATACTTTATAAACAGACATATACTTACTAGGAGAAACACTAACCTAATTATTAACATAATAACTATTATTTTCACCCTTTTTACAACTGTCTTTTTATGTACTTTAACTTTCCTTTTAGTATCTTACTGTGAATTCATGGCTTATAGATATAATTTGTTCCAACTAGCTATAATTATTATTCTTTTTAATGTTCCAGTTGTGTCAGCCTGGCTAATCACAAACTGGCTTCTTTGTTCTTTGAACACTATCATGGGCCATTAAAAAAAATCCTGTTGGTTTCTGACAAGATATTCCAGGTCCATCTTGATTACTTTCCTACCCTAAGACATGGCGCTAGTACTCCCCAAGAACCCTGCTTCCTTTTAATGGAGGATACCATAAAATATTTTCTTGTGAACAAATTAATATTGAGGGAATTTATATTTCTGTAAACAGTACTTCCCAATGTGGTGACTTATTTTGCTCATCATATAATTTAGTTACTTAGCAGACTTTTAACTTTCCTTTTCAGTAATTGCTACTTTATATTTATAGTACCTCTAAATCTTTAAAAAGATGTAACTACATAATTCTCTTCTAAAAATGCATTAGCCTGCCCGGCCAGACATGGCTCAGCGGTTGAGCATCGACCTAGGATCCAGGCGATCGGGGTTCGATTCTCGGTCAGGGCACATGCCCGGGTTGTGGGCTCGATCCCCAGTGGGGGGTGTGCAGGAGGCAGCTGATCAATGACTCTCTCATCATTGATGTTCCTATCTCTCTCTCTCCCTCTCCTTTCCTCTCTCTGAAATCAATAAAGATATATTTAAAAAATAAAATTAAATTAAAAAATAAAAATGCATTAGCCTCTTCTGAAAAAAGAAAAAAAGTCTTGTCCTATAGTTGAAAATGTAGATGGTGGTGTAGCTTGCCTTAAATATATGCAACTTAATATATATAAATGGGAGAGTACCAGTTACCATTTTAAAAAAATATATATTTTTTTGCTGATTTGAGAAGAGAGAAAGTAAGGGAGAGGGAGAGAGAAAAACAGTGATCTGCTGCCTCCTGCATGCCCCACACTGGGCATCAAGCCTGTAACCCAGGCATGTGCCTTGACCAGGAATCAAACTGGAGATCTCTTGGTGCGCATGATGATATTCGACCAACTGAGCCACACCAGCCCGGGCCCAGTTTCCCTTTGAAAGCATTCTTTACCTTACAAAGAACTCACTTTTGGATTCCTTTAAATAACACTTTCCAGTATATTACCTATCCTTCTGTAATTATCTTACCTTAATTTGTACTACATCATTTTTACAGAAGTTTCTGTTGTAGAAAATCATTAATACTCATTTCTAAATTTCCCATCTAATATATTATCAGATCATTTATACTGATTTATGTGTTTATTTGGATAACAGACCAACCATAGCCTTCCTTAGTGGACTCACAATACTGACAGTCAAAGAAACTGTATCAAATTAGAAATTATATATTAATTTAGAGCCTATAGTTACTAATTTTCACACTTAATTTCCACAGTAGCAGGTAGTTAACTGTAGCTTCCTGTGCTCTGATTGTCAAACATGCATGGATTTTTTTATGGAAGCTATGCCTTCTTAACTTTTTGTAAAAAGTTGGTGAATTATATGCAATTGTTTTTATAAGTAGAAAATGGTCAGATATAGGCAATTTAATAAATTTAACTTAATATACAAAAGTTCTCTTATAGTGGTTATTATGTTTACATAATATTCCTAATTGTATAAAGATGAATTGATACTTATGGTTTGTGATGGGCAGCCTTATTAGAGGTCTAAATTTGTAAGAAATTATTTAATCATTGAAAATATTTTTTCATTGCCTTTATTTGTATAGCACCTAATTTTTAAGCCCCTGTAGCAGATTGCCCTGATAAAATGAAGGGAATTGTTCATCAGTTGCTTTGGTATTAGTTGAAGTAAAGGTCTAAAGCTGTGGTTTGTAAGCTACATTAGTACCCCCCTTATCTGTGGGGGATATGTTCTAAGGCCCCCTGGATGCCTGAGACCTCAGACAGTACTGAACCCTGTGTATAGTATGTTTTTCCTATACATAATACCCATGATAAAGTTTAATTTCTAAATTAGGCAGAGATTTTGGTAAAGAACAAATGCTGTTATCCATACGCTGGTGATTAAAATTCTTTGTTGTTTTTTTTAACCCTCACCTGAGGAAATTTTTCCATTGCTTTTCAGAGAGAGTGGAGGGGAGAGAGAGAGAAACATCAATGTGAGAGAGACACATCGACTGGCTGCCTCCCACACAAGCCCTGACCAGGGCCAGGGATCGAGCCTGCAACCAAGGTATGTGCCCTTGGCTGGAATCGAACCCAGGACCCTTCAGTCCACAGGACAGTGATTAAAATTCTTTAGAACTGAGTCTTTCAAGTCCTCTATCAGTATTATACTTTGTATATATCCATGTATTAAGCTGTTACAGCTGCTGACAAATAGGCAATAGGGAAACGGTAACCATCTAAAGAAACTACTTACTAGTGAGTTTATTATCATATTAAAGAACAGTATTTTGCCACCTGGGTTTCTAGATGGCCTAGGTTTATAAAATAGCTCTAAAATGTTTTTTATTTCTCTTTCTCTTCTCCCAACCCTCCTTTCTCTTTTTAGGTTTTCAAAACAAAAATAGAGTTGCAATCTTGGCAGAATTGGACAAAGAAAAAAGAAAATTACTAATGCAGAACCAGTCTTCAACAAACCACCCTGGAGCTAGGTACTGAAGACTAATGTGGGTTTTATGTTCCGGGATATAAAAATATCTTGGACAAATACTTCAAGTTGGTTGGAGGTGGTTTGCTTCATTAGCATTGGAATTTACCTAGTTTCCTAGTTAGATTTGAAAAAACTAGACTATTTAATTGATTCAGTTTTAAATATTTTAATTCTATTTAGAATATTTAATTTTCCCTACAGCCTACTTTTAAGAAAAGTGTTTTGTCTTTATTGTACAGTATTCAGTTTCTGCCATCTTAAGTTTCTTCCCTCAGATCCATTATCCTATCCAGCCACCACCCTAACTGTCCCGTCTTTTTCAGCCAGACCTCTTAAAGAGTTGTCTGTACTCACTTCCACTTTCTCACGTATCTACTCCTCAGCCCACTACAACCTGACTACCAGGTGTCTTCCCCCCACCTGGAATAGGTTTGCGCCTAGTTTACTTGCAACCTCCTTGTGGCTAAAGCTGGTAGAGCAAAGTCCTTTTCTAGTTAGAGACCTTAGCATTATTTGACACCACTGGTCGTTCTCTCCTTCTTAAAATATTTTCCTTGGCTTCTTCCATTCACTCACTGTTAGACTATCTTGCTTTCTTTTGCAAACATTTCTCCACTGCCTGTCTCTGCAAGTCGGTGTTCCTCAGAGTTCTGTTCTAGACCCAGTTTCCCAGTCTACATCTTTTCACTGGACAGTTGCTTCCTTTCACAGCCTGTTAATATGTGCAGATAACTTCTATATATTTGCATTTTTAGCCCAGTCCTCTCCCCCAGCACCAGGCTGCCTCCTGCACATCTCCACTGCTATGTCCTCCAGGCATTTCACACCTAGTATTCCCCAAACTGAACTCAGCTTCTCTTCCCTAACTAAATACTTGATATTCTTGGGTTTCTTGTCTCAGTGAGTGGTACAGATCTACTAGTTATCAGTCAGAAATTTGAACTTTGTTTCTCATTCCCTTTCACTTTAGTCTCCAAGTATTTACTATTCCCTTACATTTACACTTTGAAGTGTGTAAATCTGTCCATTTTTCTTCATTGCACTGGTCCTGGCACTGTCATTTCTTCCCTCATTTCTATAACTGCGTCCTTACTGAATTTCCTGTAGTCTCTCGAATATATTTGTCAGTTAGGATGTTCCAATCTGGAAGTAACAAAACCAACAAAGTTGCCGTACACATTAGGATACATGTTAACCAAGAATGTGAGGATAAGGTGGTTCAGAGCAGCTCAATGCAGTGGCACAGCCGTGTCAGCAGTGATGCTGCTCCCTTTCACCTTTCCTTCTGCCTTTCTCCATGAGTCAGCAGCTCCCTAATGGTCAAAATATGACTGTAACCACCTAGGCCTGACCTCTACAACAAGCCACCTATAGAGGCAAAGGCCAGGAGGTTCCTATCCTATGTTCCTTTTGTAAGAGAGAGGAAAATATTCTCAGAAGCCTTCCAGCAGACTACCCATCAAATCTAGTTGCTCAGAATTGCGTACCTTTCTCTTGCCTAAGCCAGAAACCAGCAAAGGGAATGGCTTTGTCTTACACCACAGTTCACCCGCTGGGGGATGAGCCTGCCCTGCCCTGAAGCATGAGACAGCTGATAATTGAACTGAGTTCAGGTTCCATTAGCAAGGAAGAAGTGAGAGCAGCAGTTGTTGAGGTAACAGGCTCTGTCTGCCATCACAGTGGTCTTTCTGAACCATCGTGTGGCGCATCTGATCCTGTCACTCCTCTGCTTATAACATTCCTCAGAAGTCTCCCTTTACTGCTAGGATAAGGTCTACATTTATAATTGATTTCACAAGGCTCTTCATCTCCTGGCACCTGCCTTCCTCTCCAGCCTCATAATGCCAACCCATCTCACCCCTCCCCAACCCTGACCTCCAGTCCTACTAAACTCTGAGTTCTTCAAACAGTTCTTCAAAGAGTTCTTCAAGCTCTTCTGCCCTGAGCCTTTTTGCATGCTATACCTTCTGCTTGCAACATTCAGATCTTCAGTTTTCGTTATAAATGTAACTTTATGATAGACTGGAGTACCTCAAATTGGACATAATTTGAAGCCCCAGTAAATAACATAGGCTTTCTTCATGTACATTAATGTAGACAGTGGGAGAAGGAAAAACGTATTCTGGAAGGTCTTTTTTTATCCGTATATATTATATAATGAAAAACGTGATTCAGAAGTAAGGAAGCCCGTATCTTAAACAGCCAAGTAACTGAGATTCCGTTTTAGCATTGCCCTCTCGAGACCCGCCCTTAATAAGGACTTCCGGGATCATGCTGAGCAGCAGCACATTGCGGCCCAACAGAAGGCAGCGCTGCAGGTGAGCGAGCGTAACTGACGTTCTTGTCTCGCTGGAGACTCCTGGGTCTTGGGAGCCAGCACAATTCCTGTGTCGTATTTCAGTGGAGCAACATCAATAAAAATGTTCCACACATAATTGCAGTGGTTTGCTGATGTTCAGTTGTGCCCAGAGGATTTGAAGGACCAAAACAGTAATGAAAATATCTTCTATGGTGTTGACACGGTCGTGATTGATTCTGAGCTGTACCTGGCCAGGGATTGCTTGCACACAAGAGTTTAGGGTATTTGAATGGACAGAATGATCTTAAAAGCTGAACTGGCTAGTTTAACAGAACATATATATTTTTTTCAAATCCCTCATGCTATTATATCCTTTGATGGTCTTACCTTTTATTATCATTGTGTGGATTCTTTTTGTAATGGTCTGCATGACTGTCGTGCAGGAAATGTTTGAAGACTAACTCTTACCATAGGAATGTGATAACCCATCAGTTTAAAAATCTATTTTCTTCATAGTAATAAACAGCTTTAGTATTATACTGAACTTGGATAATTTACTAAGATTTCCAGAGACATCTTTACCTGTGCTTTTAAACCTCAGAATCTCAGAATTGGGATATTAAAGATCATCTCATTTTAGACAACCTAAGAACAGTCCTCCTTTCTTTAGTGACAGAGGAAGTCACTGGTGGTCTTCCGTAATTTACATTCCAACATTCAGCTGCCTCCCCCAACCCTCCTTCCAACTGCTGCCCTTCTTTCTCAAGCTCCTGCTCTGTTGATCCTGCATTTTTGAAAAGCAGAATACTTTGGGACCCTTGTTGTTGGTTTCCCCCCACTTGAAGGAATAAAGTACGTCATTTGTGTTTTTGACTCATTTATTGATTGAAAAGAATCACTGGGGAGAAAGTATGGATGATAGATGAGTACCTGGTGCAACTTGTTAATATGAATTCTTTATTATTGTCCATCTCCTGTGTATTTAAACAAAATTAGCACAAGAACTGATTTTTAAAATAAATTTGGTCTCAAGCACTCAGAAAGGAGAAGTAATTTTAATGCCTGGGTTGAAGAATTATGACTCTTAATAGCTTACTCGCTTCTTTTAAAACTCTTTCCAGCACGCACATGCACACTCATCTGGATACTTCATAACGCAGGACTCCGCATTTGGGAATCTTATCCTTCCTGTTTTACCTCGCCTGGACCCAGAATGAAGAAGTCATTTGTAGTGACATTGACTTTGTGATATCAAAAGCCAAAGGTACTATCTTTCAGTGCTATACAAACTGTGACTTTCAGAATTCGGTGAACTTCTGTTTTTTACTTCTTTAAAAGAAAGGTATGTATAAGTGAAAGAAAAGAGGCAAAAGAGGGCACCGGGAGCTTCGGAAGCCGAACTGTCTGAGGATTGATGCTGCTGCTGTCACTGTAACCGTTGGTAAGGCAGTTTGATTTTAAGGCTAAGTCTGGCTCTGAATTAGATGGTCACAGGAACTCACCCCTCTCCCGCTCCCCGGCTGGTGGGACTGAGTACATCATGTCCACAGTAGACTTATAAGAGCCATTTATAGTACTTAACTTTAAAGAAATGAGGGTGCTTTTTAAAATGTGAACCAAAAGGCTTCAATAAGTTACATTCATATTTGCTCTTTATAGAATTGATATCCGTGTACCTTTTTGAGTTTATAGTCAACATATCATCCTGAAATACTCCTTAACTCATGACTAGTTTCCTTATTCTCAATTTTAAAAGAAATCCCAAGGTTAAGTTACCAACCAGTCTGAAACATCATTTATAAACTTGTGCCACTATAAATTAGGTGACAAAGTGCTATTAAAAACAATGATATGAAACGTGGTGGTTTTAAATTTTATACAGGCTCTTATTTAGTGTTACTACAATGGTGTGCCTGCGTGCTTTGATTGTCTTTTTGTTCTGATTGCAAATGTGTGCAAGTTGATGCCCTTTTTAATTACTTTACGAGGAAGGAGTTGGTTTAAGCAGTTTCTCAACATGACACATCTTTAACAGAATCTGGAGTGCTTATCAGAATCTCTTAATTCAAAATAAAGTCTGAAAACCGCGGGTTAGAGAATTCATTTTTCATTATATATATTTATAAATTCATAGATTTGTAGGTCCCTGAGCCTTAGAGGTAGGTCATTTAGCTAAAATCTACATTATTGTACTTCTAATAGGATTCAAGTTATATTTTACACTGTATCACAGAGACAGTATTTTTATAACTGCTTATAAATGACCTCATCTTGGCCTTGAGTCCCCATCCTCTCTAGTGGTAGGATAAAATTTAAATTTAAAATTCCAGTTGGGTCAATATTTAATCAAAGTTCATCTCCCTTTTCAAAAAGTCTCTTCTCCCTCCTCCCCTAGACATTTGCACCCCTCCCCCCCACAGCCCCATCTTACCCAAACTACTTAAAGCAGAAGCGGACAATTCCAGACTTGTCTGTGCCGCTGAGGTTCTTTCTCTTGAGAATCTGAATGGATTTTCATTTGGGTGAGTTGGCAGCTGTCCCCATTGTAATGGTCACCGTTACAGCGAAGGTGCCCTGACCCTACTGCTGAGCAGCTCCCCAGGGGCTCTGGCCCCTGTCCTGCCTCAGGTCTTGCCAGCTTCCTTAGAGCGGCCCTCATTTCCTTGAATTTGACTGTTTCTCTTCTTTGTGATACACCTAAATCCGTGGTTCTAAATCTATCTACTTGATGCTAGGGACATAGAGAATTTGGATTGTAGTTTTTATACTATCACAGCCTCTATCTAGTGTGTGACTTTTATAACTTAGGTTAAAGAGATCTTCTTCCCAGCGATATCTTTTCTAGTGTCTTAGCCTTTTAAATACATGTTGCCTAAATCCTGCAGTCCTGGCTAGTAAACCCTTCCTCACCCCCTCCCTTACGTCACTTTCAAATTCAGTTCAGTTCCCTATGTGCTGATTAATATCTACTCTGTAAAACACTGTGCTTTGGAAGGGAAATGATGAGTGATACCTGCTCTTAAGGAGGTCACAGTGCAGGAGCCTACTCTGGTGCAGCGGTAATGATATGGAAGCCAGGTGCAGTGAGTGGCACGGGAGAGGTGACCTGGAGCATGCAGCAGTCTCGATGGGCCTAGAAATACTGGCATGATCTTACCTGGCAAAGGAGGGAAGAGCTGCTCCGGGGCAAGATTTACTAATCAGAGAGCAGCAGGAACCAAGGCACTTGTGAGGACTACAGAGGATGTGGGGAAGGGCAGCAGTGGACTCAGTCTGAAGCCCTGAGATGAAGTTTCATTTTTGCTTCCCTTGGATTATGGTGAATTTGCCTAACTCGCTTAACCCCTCTTTACATGTCACTCCATCCCATCTGTGATGTAGGAACAGAACATGCTCTGTCTACTTCATCAGAGTGACACAGCATGTGGTGATAGGAGGTTTTGTTCCATGAAGCTTCTGTTTCTGTGTTTAAAGTGTTATGTGTTGTACTTATGTTGCTTATTGTATGTTCCACCAGTAGGTAAGGTCTCTGAAGGCCAGAGTTTTTGTTTCCCTCCGGCCGTCTTTGTTTACTACTGTATTCTGCTTAGAATCGTGTTTGGCATGTAGTACCTATGTGTTGAAGGAAGGAAGGAATATATGTGACCTGGATAGTGATGTAAAGGGTATTGTTTTCTTTACTTTGAGTCATGGTAATAAAGTTTGAAAGCCACTGCTAAATAATACTGATGATAGAGCTTTGTATGATTCTGGAATAAAAACTGAAATGACATAATTTCAAAGGCAGATATTTTTCCTGAACAGTCTACATGCTATCTCATTAAGTTGTCTCCATTCTTTACTTTACTTTGGCAATAGAAACTCAGCCTTTAAATGGGTTCAAGGCCCACTGAGACAAGGGTTTTGGCAAAAACGGTGACACAGACCAGAAGATCAAGAGAGAACGTCAGTTCCTTAGTGCAGTTCACCCCGCTGCCGAAGCCCATCCGCCAGCGCGAGTCCCGTGTCGCCAGCATGAAGCTCAGCCAGTGTTTACTGTGAACTTTTCTTTTTCACTTCTGTGTGCACTAGTGTACAGAAGATGCTGGGATTTTTAAATTTTTTTTTTAATGAGCAAATCAAGAATGAACATGGATGAAGAAGGAGACCTTCACTGTCCTCAAGAATCTGACCATCTAGAGTGGGCGAGCAAGACAAGCATTCAACTAATACTGGGTGCAACTTAGGAGAGAGAGAGTACAGGAGCCCGAAAGGACCAGTGACAGCCACAAGAGAGAACAAGCATTTGAACTTGGCCTTTGAGATGAGAGGATGTAAGCCAGGAAAGAGAGATCAACATTCAAAGCAAAGGAAAGGCCTACACAAAAGGCAGGGAGGAGAGTAGGTTTAGGGCGATTGTGCAGTGACCAAAAGTCCAGGGTGGCTGGACTTGTACAGATAGACTTGGATGGGTTTATCTGGGACAGTCATTAGAAAGGAGCCAAAGGTAGGACAGACCCATTCTGGGGAGTCTTGAATTCCAGGAGGAAGCGAACGCCTTCAGCCTGGCGCTCAGCTGGGAGCTACGGGACGTGCTTGAGCACAGGCAGGCGTAGAGAGGAACCAGTCGGGCCCTCATCAGCTCTTGGGAAGAGGGAACTTAGAAGGCACCAGAATAATACTACTTTTATTTCTGTTGGGAATTCAGGCAGGGTGTTCTGTTTATGTCCACGCCTCAACTCCAGCCCCATCTTCCTCTGCCGTTTGTTTCATTCAGTCCTTGTGCCCTTCCTCCAAATTTCTCTTGCCCCACCTCCCTCCCTTACCTACCTTTCTTCTCTCCTGCTTTCTTTTATCTCTCCACCCCAAGAACCTTTTAAGAAAGGAAAAGCAATGCATCCTCACAATTTTCGTTTGATCTGCACAGCAGCTCAGTGAGAAGTGGACATCCTAGTCATCTACTCCGTGTTAACTCCTCTCCCCCTCGCTCCTTCCCCAGCACAGCCAGTGCGCTTCAGGGGAAGCTGGCCGCCCAGCCGCAGGAGTGGGCCTTACATGCTCCAGACCCAGCAGGGGAATGGATGCCCTCTGCCACAGCCAGTCAGCACATGGTATTTCACAGACCACAGGAACTGCTTCAGCCTTGCACATAATACCCAAATTCAACCCAGGAGAGGATTGCTGCATTCAAGGAAAATATGTTCTCACATTTCTGAGAATGCTACCAAAGGGGTGTCTTTCTCTCTAGATGTGTAAAGGGAAATGTATGTTTATACAGATGCTCCTCCACTTACAATGGGGTTACATCCCAATAAACCCTTTGTAAGTTGAAAAACCTAAGTAGAAAATGCATTTAATACAGCTAACCTACCAAATACCATACCTTAGCCTACCTTAGCATACGTGCTCAGACCACAATGTCCAAAACACACTGGCAACACAGTACACTGCAGAATATTGTTTCTTTGCCCTCGTGATTGTGTGGCTGATGGAGCTGACTCCCTGTGACCACCATGCTGTGAGGAAGCCCAAGCTAACCACGTGGAGAGGCCATATGGTAGAGCACTGAGGTGCCAGACATGTGAGTGAAGCCACTTTGGACTTTCCTTCTCAGCCCAGCCACCAGCTGAATGCAGCCAAGTGAGTGACCCTAGCTGATGCCACATGGAGCAGAACTGCCCAGCTGAGCAGAATTTCCACAGAATTATAAAGAATAATAAATTGTTGCTGTTTTAAACCTCTAAGTTTTGGGGTAGTTTATTATGCAGCAAAAGATAACGGGAATCCCATTGATCTCCAGACTCCTATATGCATTGCCAACATGACATCTCTACTTGGAAGTCTAATAGGCATCCAAACGTAACATGTCCAAAATCAGACTCACTGATCTCTCACCTTCCCAGCATGGTCTTCCCCCAGCATCCCCCCCTTAGTAAAAGGCTATTTGCATAGCTGTAAACAGTCATTCTAGTCTCCTTTCTCACAGTCCTCTCAGCCTAGCAGCTCTAGCCTCAATATATCCAGAATCCCGTGAATTCTTACCAGTTCCACTGCTGTCACTTTGTTCCAAGCCACCATCATCACTTACCCAGACTGCTGCAATAGCCTAACTGGTCTTCCTTTTGCACATTTGCCCCTGCCCTTTACAGTCGAGAATATTCAATACAGCAGCCAGAGCGGTGCTTTGAAAATGTAAGACACATGAAAAGATGCTCAGCATCACTAATCAAAAACCACGATGAGACCACTTCACACCCATTAGGATGGCTGTTACCATAAAAATGGAAAGCAAGTGTTGGCGAGGCTGTGGAGAAACGAACTGGCGGCAGCTACTGTGCAAAAACAGTATGGCAGCTCCTCAAAAAGCTATAAACATAGGTGAATCATTTGGTTCGGTAATTCCACTTCTGGGCATGTACCCAAAATAACGGAAAGCAGGGACTTGAACAGATATTTGTACACCCATAGTTATAGCAGCACTATTCACCATAACCAAAAGTGGAAACCACCCACATGTCCCATCAATGGGGTGGATGGATAAACAAAATGTGTCATATACACACAATGGAATATTACTTGGCCTTAAAAAGGAATAAAATTCTGACACATGCTACAGCATAGATGAACCTTGTAGACATGCGAAGTGAAATAAGCCAGACACAAAAGGAAGGACAAGCATTGTATGACTCCATATGAGGCACCCAGGGTATTCAGTTCAGAGGCAGAAAGCGTGGTGGTTACCAGGGGCTCGGGGGTGGGGGAATAACTGGTACAGTTACAGTTAATGGGCACAGTTACAGTGTGGGGTGACAGAAAAGTAGAAATGGGTGGTCATGATGGTCGCACAACAGTGGGGATAAACTTCATGCCACTGAACCGTAACATTTAAAAATGCTTAAAATGGTAAATTTTAAAACAAAAATGCATTTTAAAATATATTTCACCACAATACATTTTTAAATATAAGTGAGATCATGCCAATTTTCTTCCCTGAGTTTCCACGTCACGAAAAATAAAAGCTGAACTCTTTACAATGGATTACAAATACAGAAAACATTATCAAATGAGTCTATTTGTTGGAACAAAAAGAATTTAGCTGAAAACAGGCAAAATGAAGCTTTTCCTCCCTTGAATCTAATATGCTCTCTTTTTCCCGTAGAGTTTTAAGAGCATCTCTTGAGAGGTTGTTGATCTACTGAAAATGACCAGTGACCAAAATGACCATTGGAATTTGAGCCAAAAGTATATGTGCTTCCATCCTGTTGTGCAATTAGCAGGTCTGAGTGATAACGAATACCAGTCCCTGGTCCAGAGCGATACCCTTATTCTTTGTGACTTTGGTCAGACAAACCAGCCTGGTCCGTCAAACAGAAAATGGTTTGACCCGAGATGCTCAGCCCTTCCACTCTTCCAGGAGGTGAGGATGTTTCTTAGCCCTGCTGTCTGTTTTAATGTCCGGCAAAAGCTACTTTGAAGAGAGAGCCCTCTGGATACCTCTGGGACCTCAGGGCCTTTGCACTTGCTGTTCTCTGACTGGCACGCGCTTCTTCCTGTTACCCATGTAGCTCACTTCCTCAACATCCTCCAGTCTTAACTGTCATCTTTTCAGTGATGCCTTCTTTGAACACCTTACTCAAAAGTTCATCTCCGTTTCCTGGTAACCTTGCTTAATTTTTCTCTGCGGCACTCAGCAACTTCTAACATAGAATGTAATTTACTTTTTTGTCTTCTCCCTCTAGCATGTAAGTGCCATAAATGCAGATACTTTTATATAAATATTTCACAGATCCCCAGTGCTTAGGACAGTGCCTAGCACATCATCGCAAGCGTTCAGGCATTTAAATGAATAAATGCAGTAAGTCTGACATCCAAAAGGAAAACTGGCATCTTAGTCATCAGTAGTGGTCCCTGTCCCCAAGTGAAATGTACACATACACAAAAACCTAGAAACTAGGGGGGTCCTAGACACCCTGAAGCCCAGCCATGGGTAGGTACCATGTTAAAACCCTTTGGTTGAAAGGAATTTAGCTGTAACCCCTTCAGATGTGTCTCCAGTGCAGTCTTTTGGAACAACTGTCAAAGCCACAGATGTTACTACCATCCGAGTCTCCAGGAGATTCTGAGCCTTGCAACACTGAAGCAAATACAGCAAAGCTGGCAGCCACAGTTCTGTTGAGAAAACAGGAGCGCGTGCCAGCCCCTCATTCTTCATTACTGAGCTATTAATTCAAGTTCTCTGAGGAGAGCATCCAACAGTGAAATACAGGCTCTGAGCAGTCCCAAGCAGGAGCTCAGCCCTCCATCCAGGGAGGCACATGCCTTTAGAGAACGGAGTTCTCCCAGGTCAGCCACTTTGTGAGTCCAATGCTCACAGGATACAAAGCTGCTCCCTTTGAATACGCTGGGCTTCTTGGGGATGGAGGTGGCCCGCAGGGTGACAGTGATCAGCCTGGAGGCTGTCCGACATTGCTAACTTCTGAGGCTGCAGAATCCAAGAGGACCGGCTGCTCCTTAGAGGAGGAGCTCACATGTACAGCATCCGGGAAGAGACCTGAAGAGCCAGGAAGACTTGTACAAAAGAAGGGGCGGTGGCAGAGGCCTGGGTGGGAGGGGGAGG